ATATCTATTGATAAGAGTCCCTCATTATCGTCCTTCCAAAACATCCAAAGGCCAACCTTTGTCCTTCCCCTCTCTATTGTACGTTCTCAAACTCTATAGCAATCCTTGCATCTTCGTTCTCCAATCCTAATCCTCAAGAATACGACTTCTAATTGGCTCTATCATACATGTATATTGTAAGATATATAAATTTTTCCATAACATTATACGAAAGACCTCAATGTTATGATGAGACGTTCAGAGTACGTAATAATTTTATGTTCTAAAATACCTTATAGGTTGAGCACACTTACATATCTCGAAATATGGACTCAGAGAGTGATGTTTTTTTTTTCTAGAAATTTTATTAGAAATTCATGACCAATAGACTTGAAATTGCGACTTGATCTAATAACATGGCACATGCATTTATACCTATACCAAATTAAACTCTAAGTTATGGTAAAAAATAGGGTTTATATATAATTTTGTGGTACTTCAAGAATGGAGTATGTGGCAGCGGCAGAAAACCAACACTGTAGCTTTTTTTTTTTTTTTTTTTACTTGATCTAATAACATGGCACATGCATTTATACCTATACCAAATTAAACTCTAAGTTATGGTAAAAAATAGGGTTTATATATAATTTTGTGGTACTTCAAGAATGGAGTATGTGGCAGCGGCAGAAAACCAACACTGTAGCTTTTTTTTTTTTTTTTTGAGATTTCTAACCTAAAAATTTTCTTTGATCAAATAATCATGAATACATAATGAAAACTGAATTAAAATATTTAAATTTCTCAAAAAAATTCATGCATATTCATGACATGATGATCAAACCCTAATTTTCAATCAAACATGGATTCTTCTAAATCAGATTCATAAAATTTAAAATATAATAACCCTTTTGAATCTTAAATCATGAATAATATATAAGAGTAAGAACTACCAAATTTTGTTCTCAAATTAAACAATTCAAAAGGAATGATTTTTAGATTTGAGAATATACAAGAGAATCACATCACAAATTAACATTGTTTCTCAATAGGTTAACATGAACACCTCTCTGATACCAATTGTTAGATCAAGAAAAGATAAGCTTTTGCGTTAAGAGATGAAACTCTAATCAATCCCAAAATTGTTCATGTCAAACTATTAAGATAATTAAGAAGATGCGGAACCATACCTGAATCCATGGAGTAAGAAGTGATTCTTGAGTTTTGAGATATAAATTTTCTAAATTTTGTACGTATATCCTCCTTAGAGAAACTTTAATCTTTCTGAAGATGGAAAATCAGAAAGAGATTGTACGTAGAGATTTAGGGAATCACAACCCTGTTTATAACTGAATTCAGTTATTCATAATTATCAATTCAGCCCATCATAAAATTAACAATTATATTTTCGTCTTTACACACAGGAACCTCATACTTTAATTATGCATTAAAAGATCAAACCCTAAATTAGATCACTTTAACGTGCTAACCTTAATTGATAACAGATAGTACACATTTATTTAATATATTGCCCATCACTGGATATACATCCAACATGTGGACCTAAAAGGAAATTTGTCCATTGAACATCTGACATAGGCAATTAGTCTTGAACATTCAAATAAGTTGAAAAACTAGTTGTTATGTGCATTGAATCTAATTCAAAATACGTACGTTACTTTATGTCACCTATCATCCCTACTAATTGGTTCCATCATATTAGACATTCAGATGTTTGTTCTGAGCATTAAATCCCACCGACCAATTAGAGGCATGTCCTTTTTGCTCATTGAGGAAGAAACTAGTTAGAGCACTACACTGTTGGATCTAATTTGCAGGGGTTGAACAGCATTGCTACAGTTTTTAGCCAGAAACACAGAATATACAAGTAAATATAAAAAATAAAAGTGATAAACGGTATAAAGCAATAGAATCAAACACGAACACCAATCAATCAGGAACACACTAGATTTTATAGTGGTTTGGATAATAATTCTATGTCTACTCTTCCTTCTCGCAAAAGGGGCTTCCTTATTATGCAAAGAGTTCACCTGAATCACAAACTTGATTCAGTAGGCTTACAAGACCAGTGTTTTCGTCGAAAGTTGATTTTGAAATGGAATCCATTAAAACTTCAATCGCTTACAATGAATTGCACAATAAAATAAGAAAATTACAACTCTCTAGAAAATAACACAGAAATTGTTTATCAACTCCTGCTTTTGTGGGGACTTTGCCTGTGTCGGGGGTGCGTTAACCCATGGACCACCAAATCACAGATTCTGATTGAATTGTGAAGGCTTCGGGGATTCTTCCTTCGTTTATCGAAGTAAGAATTTGAAGCGAATATCTTATCGATTTAAGATGTTCACTCTTCTAAAGATCAAGTCAAAGCTTAAATCTTTAGGAATCACTGAAAGCTTTAAAAATGTTTGTGAGGAATGAGGACTCTCTCTCTCTCTCTCTCTCTCTCTCTCTCTCTCTCTCTCTCTCTCAAATTCACCAAAAAGCTCAAGCTTCTCTGCTCTAATCTGCTCTTTTTTCTAGGTCTCGTGTGTAGGGAGGTATTTATAAGGATAGTGGTCCATAACTGTTGAAATGGAAGCGAAATAACTAACCAATCACACTCTCTTTGGGCGCGTCAGTCGTCACTGCCGCGGCCTTTAGCGCGTCAGTGTAGACTGCCACGGCTGAAGAGGTCGTTCCACTCACGTTTGTAACTGTTTACATTTGCATTAGTGCATGTTTTTCGTAAGTAGTGGGCGTATTTTCAGGGTATAACTACTCCTCCATGTTGTTACATGTTCTCCCTCGGTTATAGAACCACGTGGACCCCACTAAGATGCTAAAAACCATCAACAAATCCATAGGAGATTACCCTGCCATTTGCGCATCACCATATACTACCGCGCCTTGGCGCGTCACTATCCACTGTCGCGCATAAGCGCGTCACAGTACGCTACCGCGCCTGGGCGCGTCACCAACCGCTACCGCGCCTATGCGCGTTAGTGTTCGTTGCTGTTGTAGGGTGAATATTTGATTTCCCGAAAAAGGGAGTTTCGTTTGTATTTATAAGAAAGCTTATTACA